AAGTAGTCTGCAGGTAATTTTTTTCACGTTTATTTATTATAAATATCTCACCAAACACATGACAAGACTAATTCTCAGTTGCAGAGAATTTTTTGTATTCTTAAATTAGAGAAATTGGGGGGAACTTGGGCAGAACTGCAAGCAGCCCACCAGTGATTACAAGAACCTGAATGTATTTTAAATTGAAAAAAAAAAAGCACAGCTAATTGCAAATACAGTTAGGATGAGACTCATGTTGATCGTATTGATTGGTGTGATACCAGTTACACTGCGTGTTTCTGTTCCCCATTTGATTGATTGTAATTCTTTAGGACCAAGATTTTCTTACAAATATTTTTCTGTGTGCGGAATTTTGTATCTGTATTTAGTTGCTAATGCAGATAAAATGGAAAAGGTGAAATGCTGACCCTTTTGAAACCAAGGGGAGTTTTACCATGGAAGACTTTGGAAGGTTTGGGATGCTACCTACTAATGGAAACATTCCTGAAAATATTTTCTGTGCAAATAATGACATGTCCAACACAAATGACAATTTGTATTTGTGCAATGCTTCAGAGTATCCAAATATAGACTTTTTTTTTTTTTTTTTTAATGTAGGGGTGAGATGGTACAGCTTTAAGTACAAGTTAAATGTTGTAGCACAAAGATCATTTACCAGTCCTACAGCTCAGGGTGGCTGCAGCCCTCTTTCAGTGTCACGCAGTCATATCCAGAGCAGGTAATATCCAGAAACACATGAGGAGGAGGAGTACTGCCTCTCCCTTTTTCTGGTTCTTACAACACACTGCACAGCAGTGAGAGTTGCATAGCGTGCAATAAATCATTGCCTCATTATGCTCCTTCTGTAGGTTTGTTTAGGGCACCTACTGTAGTACCAGCTTCAGAGGATTAGTTGTTCTTCCCAGAAATTCCTTTCGGATATAGACTTCTGATTTGATTTGCAGAAAAAAAAAAAGAACCTCCATGTCTTATTTTTAAAATAATTTTTTAGTGTACATAATTTATATTACAGAACTGCCTAAGAAAATAATTCAAGCAATATCTGGAGATTATTTTAATTTATAGGTGGATGATTTTGTCAAGAGAAGGCAAGAGGTTAAAGAAAATTTTAATGTTTTTGTGACTTGTCAACATGAAATATTAGCAAATGAAACACAGGGTCTTCCTCCCTTCCTTTCTTCCTTCCTCCCTTCTTGCTTGCCTTCTTTCCTTCCTTCTCCCCTTCTTTCTTTCCTTCCTTCTCCCCTTCTTTCTTTCCTTCCTTCTCCCCTTCTTTCTTTCCTTCCTTCTCCCCTTCTTTCTTTCCTTCCTTCTCCCCTTCTTTCTTTCCTTCCTTCTCCCCTTCTTTCTTTCCTTCCTTCTCCCCTTCTTTCTTTCCTTCCTTCTCCCCTTCTTTCTTTCCTTCCTTCTCCCCTTCTTTCTTTCCTTCCTTCTCCCCTTCTTTCTTTCCTTCCTTCTCCCCTTCTTTCTTTCCTTCCTTCTCCCCTTCTTTCTTTCCTTCCTTCTCCCCTTCTTTCTTTCCTTCCTTCTCCCCTTCTTTCTTTTTTGTGTACACAGAAGCTGCTGATCCCTTACCATACTAGATTATGCTGAATTGTTTTCAACTGTAAAAGAAGCCTAAGTACCTCATTAAAAAATATTGTGAGGTCCTCATTCACTTTTTCTCTATGTCTTTAGCCAGCCCTAGTCTACAGCTGGTGCAGAAGGCCACCAGTCTGATTGATAGAATAAGGATTTTTGACATTTGGTTTTGATTTAAGTAGACAAATCCTCTTAAGAAAAGGTGTTCATTAGTTGTCCTAATTTACTAATGAGGAGCGGTATTCAGTATTGCTGATTTTGATAAAACAGTATTTATTTAGCATTGCACCAAGCAAATGCTGGAATAACCTAGATTGTACCTGCAATTAATTTGAACGGCTAGAGCTGAGACTTTGGAGAGCAGGTGGGTACACTGCAACACGGCTGGGTTTTGCTGCAGTGTGACAATGTGATCTAGGATCTGATCCAGCCTCTTTGGAAATCAATGGAAATTCTACCCTTGACTTTACTGGGCTTTAGATCCCGCTCCAGTTGTGCCAGAGTGGTAATGAAATGACTTCAACTTAGGGGAAGAATTTTCTGGCTTAACAGATTCAGTGCTTTGTGTTGATAGGTTTCTTTTACAAGGGGTCCTGACTTCGAGTCTGAATAGCTTTCACACGTGCCTTGCTCTGATCCTCCCTCCTAGTCACAGTTCCTTGAAATGCCATAAATTTCTGTTTTGTGACCACTGTCAGACATCACAGCTGACCAGTGAAATTTCCTAGATGATTATGATGTGAAACTCAAAATCATTGTAAGCTTGCTCAAAATGTGACCTGCCTTCACACGAAAGCTCCCTGAGCTTTCTGAACCTTTCAGCAAAACTGGATGTGTTCAAAGCCATAACGAAACACAAAACTATGTCAGTTTTGTGTAATTTGAGGTTTCATTGTACATACTTCTGTATCATTGTATCTCAGAGTCCTGGATGTAATTCTTATTTGATCCTAAACTCTTACAAAGAACCTAGGAATAGAAGATGTGCTGAGGTCAGGACCAGAAAAGATTTTTTCCGACACCCACTGCAACCTGAGTCCCCCATAAACATTTAGGACTCAGCGAGAATTGCACCCAACTCTTTTTGATGGAAGTACAGTGGTGACCTTCTAGATTGATTAAAGATGTGACATTGATTGACTTTGAAGGGAGCCACATCCACCCTTCTTCTGCCAAAAAGGCAGTGGCTGCAATGTGAAGCCTCAAGAATGGGGCATTGCTCTTCCAAGTACATGGAAGACATCCAAGGGTAACGGGATAATGCAGATAATGGGATAGGGTTTCTCCCCTCCTCTCCCTCAAATACCATATAGTAAGATTTTAGGTATCCAGACTCAGGCCTTAGGAGACCTTCCCCTGATAGCTATTTAGAAGAAGAAATAGCTAAGGTCATGAGCTCTTCTTATAGGTTATATAGGACATTCAGTGGTTGAGAATGTCACCTGGTAATGGTGACTCTGCAGGGACCTTTAATGGCGATGGGGGCTGATGCTGTGAGGAGGGGCGTGAACAGCACAGTAGAACGGGCAGTGTGGTGGAGGGAAGAGCTTTATTCCTCTGGCAAACCCACCCCTGATGATTTTACACAGTCACTTTGAGGTGTCTCGTTTGAGAGATGTTAAAATGACCCAATTTTCGAAAGATACACAGTATCTTAGCAATATCTGGTCTCTTTAAGGCACCTTGAGTTGGCACTGAGAAATATTGGCCTCCCAAATTACCACTTTTGAAAATCTAGGCCACTGAACCTGATATGAACTATCAGAAACCAGAGACAAGGGAGCATTTATGTTGGGGAATGCATAGGGGCTTGAAAACTACAAATCAAAATAATTCACCCTTTTATGTGTAAATCTCCTTCTCTTTGATACACGAATTGAAAAGCTGTCTGGTTTCCTTGTAGTTTCCGTAAGCAAGCAGCATGTGACTGTACCCTCTAGAATGCTATTTAAGCGTTATTTAAAGTGCAGACCTGTTAAGGTCAAGCAAGCTCATCTGTATGCTAAAACTGAACCCACCAAACCTTACACCTAAAACCAGCAAGCAAGGAGGTCTCAAGTTCTGCAGTTCCCTCGTGACAAGGGTACAGCGTGACAAATGGTGAAAGCACCAAAAGATCCAAGTCCTTTTTCAGGGATAACAATAAAATCAGAGACAGAAAGACACCGAGTCCTGGCGCAGGTGTCTGCTGTTCCAAGGCAGTCTTTCTCAGATACGACACCTCCAGCCCATTGCTAAGGGATGCGGACGGGAGCTGCAAACTGGCAGGAACAGCATCAGCAAATTTAGATCCTGTGTGGTGCATTTCTGAGCTAGTAGCAAGACTGAAGAGTCACTGCAAGAAGCCCACGTGGAAGGGATTACTGAATTTACCATGAGCATACTGAAAAGAAACTTTTCAATGCAGACATAGAAAGCGTGATGTGTTTTGCTCATGTTCCAGAGTCAGTTTCCTCTGTCTGAGCACCGTAATCCAGATCCTGTCGAAGTCAATAGCTGTCTTGCCTTTCAGAAGGATTATGCCCCTAAATAGCTGCTTTAGGAAGTGTACTTTGCTTGGTGATAACACAAAGCAGAGAGTGGATGATTAACACCAATTAGGATTATTTACGAGAACCTAGAAAACAATAGGTCCATAAATCATTGTCTTATCAATTGTAGTTCCTCCCGAGTAATTTAGTCATCACTGGGCAAACTGTGTGTTTCACTGTTCATTAAGTAGAGATCTGCCTGATGTTAGCTGAAGTTTGGGGAAATGTTGAAGGTACAAGATGACCTAGTAAAATAGCAGTGTTACAAAAAACGTCTGGTGATTTTCAACAGTTTGTCCCCAGGTATGTTTAGTGAATTTAAGGTGACTGACAGTAGCCTTGTTTCTCTTGAGTTGAGCTTGAGCTCTGTCTACACTAGTGTCTCAGATTGGAGCCTGGAGTGGTTTTGCAGTAATCCCCTTGTTGTCTCCTTTTGTTGGGCACTAGTCCAGCTGCGGGGCGGCTTCGGTGCACAGATTCCTTCCAGAAGAGACCCAGTGGGGAGCTCTCTCCAAAAGCAAGCCAGGGCTTGGTGGTACATTCAGCTCTGATCCAAGGGGTCAACCACACCACCAGAAAGTCCTTCAGGGTGTATGTAACCCTGCTTTGCAAGAGGAAGGCTGTCAAACTGCCCAGAGCTCCCCTGCCATCTCGAAATGGTGTTTGTGCTACAGAGAGGGTCAAATGTTTCATGTGACACCCTTTTTGCTGGTGACAGGCAGCTCTTGTGACTGCTGCTCCTCTTCCTTCCACCAAGACTTCTCCTGGTTCATTATCCCTTCTGTTTATTAACTGCCCCATCTTCTATAGCTGTTCCTCCTTGCTGCTGTCCTTTTTACTTCTACTTTTATCACTTTTTGTGATCCCTTTTCCAATTTCCAACCTTAGTCTCCCAGAAGACCTGGAGTGGTGACATCTGGATGCAGAGGAGATCACACTGCTTATAAATCTGCACCATGAGGAGGCCAAAAGTTTCTTCAGCAGCAGGAGGTAAGCCAGGACTGCTGGTGGGTGTAAGGAATGGAGAGCAATGCCACATGAATTTGAGAAGATGGAAGCGGCATTCTTGAGGATGGAGACTTTGGGGCAGTATCGTGGTCCTGTACAGAAAGCTTGAAGAGATCTTCAGGTGGGAACACACCAGTCAGCCAGCTGCTTATTTGGTTTAGTCCATGGACCTCTGAGGTTTGCACACCAGAGACTGAAAACTCTTGACTTAACCTAAATTTCCTCTTTATGGACTTCTGATGTGATAGGAATGGCACAAAAAAAAAAAAAAAAAAAAAAAAAAAAAAAATCAATATATCTGCTTTGCCATAACTTTTTCAACCTGCTAACTTTCCCAGGACTACTTTCTGCTCAAATTACTGGAACTTAATTACATGAGTCTTAATTTCAGTTGCTTGGCCAGCTTTAAAAACATATATTCAAATTTGAACCACAAGGGCAGAATTTTGGGAGCCTCTTTGTCTTCTCACTTTGTATTAGTTTAAATGAAGAAACTGTGCCTGTGAATCTCTGCTTTATTACACCTATTCCAAGCCAGTCTCACTTCTGGAGAGACTTCCCAGACACTCAGTAGTTTAAGGGGGAGCACAAACTACCCCTTATGATATAGATTATGTTTCTGAAACTGTGCAAACAATAGATATTTGTCTCCTGCTTATTAATTTTCTTGTAAATAAAATGTATTGAAACCAGAAATGGAGTAACCCTGACTTTACACCAGATAAGAATTTGTATTGACATTTGACATAGAAATGTTGTATTATCTGTACATTTCTCGAGTAGATCTTGCAATGTTTAATTGCAACAAAAAAAAAAAAAAGGGGGGAGGGAAAAGTAAAGGAGGGGTGTGGAGGAGAGAGAATCTGAAAGGACACAGATGGGGAATGGTGGAGTTGGAGGATAGCACTGGCTATCAAAGCGTTATCTGAGAATTCCTATGATTAGGATTTATTAACTTTCTGACCTCACCATTTCATTATAATTTGCTGCTTAGGTGATAAGTAATAAATGGCCTCCAAATTTTATTGCATTTGCTCACTTTCTTTAACAGATTTTACATCAGTTTGTTCCCCTCCATAAGATCTTATTTCTGTGTCATGGTTTAACCCCAGTAGGCAACTAAGCCCCACACAGCCACTTGCTCACTCCCCTCTGGTGGGATGGGGGAGAAAATTGGAGAAGTAAAAGTGAGAAAACTTGTGGGTTGAGATAAAGACAGTTTAATAAGTAAAGCAAAAGCCACACATGCAAGCAAAGCAAAAGAAGAAATTCATTCACGACTTCCCATGCTCAGCCATCCCCAGGACAGCAGGGCTCCGTCCCGTGTTAGGGTGACTTGGGCAGACAAACGCCATCGCTCTGACCGTCCCCCCTTCCCCTCCTTCCCCCAGCTGTCTGTGCTGAGCAGGACGCCCTGGGGGCTGGGACACCCCTGGGGGCAGCTGGGGTCGCCTGTCCTTGCTGTGTCCCCTCCCGACTTCTTGTGCGCCCCCGGCCTCCTCGCTGCTGGGGTGGGGTGAGGAGCAGAAAGGGCCCCGACTCTGTGTAAGCGCTGCTCAGCAGTGACTGAAACATCCCTGAATTATCAACAGTGTTTTCAGCACAAATCCAAAACAGTCCCGTAGTAGCTGCTACAAAAAACCTTAACTCTATCCCATCCAAAACTAGCACATTCTGTTAAGGCCTGAAGACTTTATGTTTCTGCCAGGGTTGATTTGTTCTTCTGGTTTATCAGTGTTGTTATTTAGCTAGCAAGCGTCCCACAGCAATTCATCGAGTAATACTTCCATCTGTCACATTGGGGTGATCAAGAATACATTGCAGCTGATGTGCAATCACTGATGTATATCTGGAGTTGGGCATGCACCTCCAACTCAGCAGATAAAAAACTGTCCAAAGAGCCAACAAAAGAGGGCTTTTTTTAAACACCCCAACCCGCTAGTGGATTATCCTTAATGTGTTGGCAGCATGCCCCTTCCTTCCGCTGCAGGAATGCTAGCCTGGCTCTGCAGCCCTGCCTTTTTGTGTTACAGCGTGCAGAAGAAATAAAGTGCAAGACTGATTTTTAATAGTTCGTGGCATTTTTTTTTCCTCTGCCACCCAAATCAGCTTATTTGCCTCCAAAGAGGCAAGTGTAGTGAGCAGCACCTCTCTTTGGGGAGTGAACTTGCCTCATCAGTGTGGCTGTGCAGGAGAGTGTTCCTTGTAGGAGCTGGCTGTTGTTTCTAGGAGCTCAGTGACATACCTTCAAGGGCTGAGGGTTCAGCTTCTTCTGTGTGAGAGAGGAGAGGAAATGACCTTCACCCAGCTGAGCAAGGAACAACAGGAAACCCTCACAGTCTGAAGCTCCTGCCATTTCCCACTCCCTAGAATCCGGCACTCAGGGACCATTTTGATGAACTGTCAGGGGGTTTGTCAGGGTTTAGCTGCTACAAATATATTAGCAACGTATGTTGATGATTCATGGCAAAATGGTGTACGCTGATTTAAGTGATGGACTAGTCATTCTGTAATGGATTTGAGAATTCCCAATCAGATTGTACTCAGTTTTATCAAGCAGGAAGCTGGCAGGCTGTGTTTTAATCAACTGATAGCATCGCTTGGCAATTGGCATCCAGCTAGTGAACAGAGTATTTCTCAAAGACCAGCTCGCTAAGTTGCAAACAGCAACATCCACTCAGATCTTTCAGATTTACCTCCTATTTGTTCTGTTTAGCCTGTTTCTTTCCCAAATGAAACTTTCAGCTGGAAGTGCAGAAAGATGCAGCACATCAGATCTTCTGCTGCTTTTTCACCAATGTTGGAGGGAGACTGGATGAGGCAGAAGACATTCGCTCCATCGTCCAGGAATCTATGTTGAAACAACCTCCTGGATATAACACGCAATCCCAGAACCATGCAAATTCAGGGATTTGATGCTGGTGCAAGGTTTTGAGCATTCACATTGCATAAGTGCGCTAAATCTATAACGTGAGGCCACACCAGGTGAGACGTGGCCCTTTCCCCTTTGAGTCAGGCTATTTCATGACCCATTATCTACTTTATCACCAAAGACATACCTTGTGTTCTGACCTGTGCCAATAGACATTGACGATAGTTTCCTTTCCTGATAAAATTCAACAGCCTCTTCATTACTTCTGTGAAAGACCAGCTCCCCTTGAGCATCTTCACAGCGCAAACCCTCAGGTGCCATAGCTACCTTAAATAATTTCCTACTCGGGATTTTTGTTCTATCACAGTTATTGAGCTGTGCAGCCATCTACACCCATGTAGCTGTAGTCAAGCACAGATTCAAACCTGGGGAGCTCGTTTGTTGTGCCTAGCTCCTGTATAGTAGTTACTGTGCTTAGCAACCCACCTCCAATATAAATATATCTGCTACTCTGAAGAGCAGGCTTTGAAAAGCACCAGAAGGGATCACTCCCCCATACGGATTTTTTCCAACATTGCAGAGCTGTTAGGACTTTAAGAGGAAAATTCACTTAAGCTTCCCAACCAGAGAGGTCAAGATTTCACTCCAGACTGACGAAGCTTTGGTGCAACTTGCTGCAATGGGTGATGAACCCCCATTTAAAAATGGGTTCTGTCTGAACTGCTTTTGAGCCATGCGGGCATGGAAGCAGACAGAGCGGTTACCCATGCAGCTGGCTGGAGGGAGCCATCCATGATGCCTTTGCCTGTCGGTCCCATGGCAGTGCATTGGGGAATGGCTCACTGGGCTGCTAGCCAAACTGGATAATCCTGTTGGTTTAAGACGGGTCAAACATTTGAGGCCCTCAGAAGAGGCTGGTGATTGAAAGGATGTAAAATAATCATGCTCCCAAAAAGTAATACAAATAAAAGTGAGGTATAAGGAACAGAGAGGAGTGATTCATCGGGAAACTGAACTCTTGAAATTGTGTTGCAAGTCCTGCATGAGGAAGGAGGTGTATGTAAGTATGTAAGGGACAGATCCTGGTTTGTCCAGATGAGTTGAAGATACGATGAAGATTATAAACCCTGTAATTTAAAGGAAAATTTTAACTTCCATCTTAGATATTTTCTGCTGGCCATTACATGAAAATCGGACAAAACAAAAAAGATCCCTATCTCCAGTGTCACATCCACCTGAGCACTTCAGGAGACAATGCCACCCACTGCAAGAACTGAAGTTAAGGTTTCCAATGCCAGAACCACCAAAAGGACACGTGACAGCAAAGCTGAAATAAGTCTTCTGTCTTCTTTCTCTGGATTGGAGAGCATATGGTTTCCACAGGGTTGTTTTCTGTGTAAACATTCCTATTTGTATGTTTTACAGATTAAAATAAAAATGTGTCTTGCAAACATATTCAATAAGTCAATTTTAAAGCATGTTTGTTAATGGATCTAAGCTTTATCACAGAGCATAAGTAAGTGGGAAAAATCCCCCAGCCAGTTGTGAAGAGTCTAATATTGACTTTCTCACACTTTGGGTTCATTTATTACAATGTTTGTTTACTTTTATAAAAATTTCCTATGCTGATGGAATCATCTAATTTCTGAGAGCATCTCCAGGGACACGAGGCCACATTATAACATCTCACATTATATGTCATTCAGGCAGTATCTCCCAAATCATAAAACCTATGGAAAGGGAATGGCACTTGAATATCAGATTCCTCCTCCTTTTCCTTTTTCTGAGCCCTTTTTTTCCATCCCAGTGTACTCTTCCTCATACTAGCTGAGTATACTCATCTCCACTCTGTAGAGAAACAGGCTGTGACGTATGTTTCTCCTTGCTCTATCTGACTCCCTCATCCTGTCTCACACACCTTATATATAGATTGGGGTTTTCCCTTCTGTCTCTGGGCTTTCATTTATATCACCTCACTATCCATGTTTTGTACCTATAGGTGCTACTACGTGAACTGACCAACTGGAGCAGGGAGCTGATCCCGCTGAAATAATCTGAAGGAAGTCCAAGTTTCAGATTGATAATTTCTCTGGTCTGAATCACTGCATTTCTGTCCAAAAATGTGTGCTAACACAAGATCAGGATAGGTACAGAGAGACAGGACCTCTGCAGCCAGCACTGCTGCTAACTCATGGGCCTGTTGCACCACCTTCTCAAATTTTTTGAGCAGTTTCAGAGATTTTTGTAAAGACCTCAAGGGAGGGTTGTATGTTCTTAAAACATTTCATTGATCCATTCATGTCCATACAGTCAGACAGGGCTTCAGTTTTTAAGATTCCTTCCATACTATGATGGAAAGTTACTAATTATCATAGATGCTTGCTTGCAATTTGCTTGAGACACCAGTTTCAGTGTAGCAAAGCACTTGCAGTTTACATAAATCTCAGCATGCAAATCTATGGGGTCCTTTGAGTGAAAATAGGTTTTCTAGGAGATTGCTCTAGATATTATTTTAACATTCATATCTAAGGCCAAGACCTCAATCCCATCTCATACAGTTGACCACAAGGACCATAATCAATTTTATTTTGTATAGTAAATTCATTACAGATTACCACTCCCACTGCGTATTTCTTCACGTAGGAATTGTGCACCAAACTATTTGGTCTGATTAATACCAGGTTATTGTGCCTACTAGTGCACTTACAACACAACTTTGCAACAGGAAAGTAATCCCGGCCTTTTTAAATACTGAGGAGAGTGTTTAGGAAAAAAGGACAATATCAGGACTAAAACAGTTCTGACAATTTCTTATTTCCCTTTATTCAGAAAAAAAAATCATAATTGAGACTTAAAAAAGAAAGAAAGAAAAGCCCTCCATGACTTTAAGTGTAAAATCCATTTTAGTAGCAGGAAGCTGTTATATGGTTAGAGCAGTTATTTTTATTGTCTGTCTGGGTATAGTTTTTAACTGCAGGCACAGAATAAAT